GCCGGGCTCTGTGCTCCCACGCTGGGCGCCCACAGGAAGGAGGCCCGAGCTGACCCCCCCCTCCCATTGCAGCGCCGGAAGAGCGATGACGGGGACACGGTGGTCGTGGTCGAGAAGGACCACTTCATGGACGACTTCTTCCACCAGGTGAGGGTCCTCGGGGCAGCATCGGCCCGAACCCGCCAACCAGCCGACAGTCATGTTTCTATGTTTTTGTGAATCCTCACCCAGGGATATTTTTCCATTGATTTTTAGAGAGAGTGGAAGGAGAGGAAGAGTGAGAGAGAGAGAGAGAGAGAGAGGGAAACGATGTGGGAGAAACACATCGATGGGTTGCCTCCTGCACGCACCCCAACCAGCCAGGCCGGGGAGGAGCCTGCAGCTGAGGTTCGTGCCCTTGACGGGAATCGAACCCGGGACCCTTTGGTCCGCAGGCCGACGCTCTGTCCACGAGCCACACCGGCCAGGGCCCAGCCTGGTGGGTTTTGCTGGTGATGCTGATGGGTATTGCCGTGGTCATCACTTCACGTGGTGCACGTTCTTAACAGTCAGTGACCGTCCGTCCGCGTGAGGCGGGAGCGGCTTTTATTTTTCACGTGTAATCACTCACCCACTTCCTCCGCTGTCCTCCCTCTCCAGGCGTGGGGGGGGGGGCTGGCGCTGCCCGCAGGGTGACGCCTCTCTCTCTCTCCAGGTCGAGGAGATCAGGAACGGCATCGCTAAGATAGCTCAGTACGTGGAGGAAGTAAAGAAAAGCCACAGCATCATCCTGTCCGCACCGAACCCCGAGGGAAGTGAGTCCTGCCGGCCTGTCCGTCTGTCCGTCTGTTTGCTCGCCCCTCCCACTCACCAGGGGTCCCTCAGGCCCCGGCCCTCGCCGCGCAGGGATGGAGCCGCACGGTGCTGGCCGGGGGGACCGCTGACCCGGAAAGCCAGGCAGCCTGGCCCTCGGGAGGTTCTGCAGAACTCGGGCCACGGCAGGAGCCGGACCCCTCATCCGGGCCGGGGCCGTGGTGGAACAGGAAGGGGAATCGTGTGTCGGGTGGACGCTGAGGGGGGGATTCGGGGACGCTGCTGGTCGGAGCGGGTGCCCACAGCCGTCCGCTCCACAGTCTGAAGTCAGCTCCGGAGCTGAGCCCGGAGGCCCCGTGCGGTCTGGGCCCCAGGCAGACACGTTCTCAGATAAAGCGTTGTGGTGAGCTAGCCGAGCCTTATCACGGGCGCGTCCCTCTATCTCCACAAACGCCTGTGCTGCGCCTCCACTGTGCCCGACGGGCGAGCTTTTTTTCTTTTTTCATTTTAAAGAAATAAAAGAGGAGCTTGAAGATCTGAACAAAGAAATCAAGAAAACGGCTAATAAAATCCGAGTCAAGTTGAAGTGTGAGTTGAAGCTTCGGTTTGTTTAACGGATGATGGGACTCTGGGTAGTTGGTTTTCTTTATAATTTTTTAGTTTATGTTTTCAGAAAGCGAACGCTGTGAGCGCTTTGATCAGTGTGTGTGTGTGGGCTTGGGGCAAGAAGCCTTGTGTTGAAGTTCTTCATCGTTGTGGGGTTTTTAAGCGACCGGCCCTCAGGGCTGCACAGGAGGGGCCAGAGCTGATGTTCGCAGTCCTTCCATTCAGGGCGAAGCACGAATTCACAGCCAGCAAGACCAGCCCTTGCTTACAAACCGCTCATCTCTTTTTATTTTATTTAAAAAAAGTTTTTTTATTGATTTCATTTAAAAAGTGTTTTTATTTATTTCAGAGAGAGGAAGAGAGAGAGAAACGTCAGTGATGAGGGAGAATCATGGATCGGCTGCCTCCTGCACACCCCCTCCCCGCTGGGGACCCAGCCCGCAGCCCGGGCCTGTGCCCCGACGGGAATCCGACCGTGACCTCCTGGTTCCTAGGTCGACCCTCAGTCAGTGAGCCAGGCCGGCCGGGGTTTTTCTTTTTAAATGTTAACACGTAACGTCTGGGTTTATTCTGTGATATTATCACCCATGGATGATTATCACCAAAACGCGCACGTCGGCCAGGCGTGGAGACGGTGAGGCGATTCTGTGAGGGGTGATTCCGAGCCCCTGCCCAGCGTGACGCCCCCCCTCCCTGCCCCCCGTGTGCCTGCAGCCATCGAGCAGAGCTTGGAGCAGGATGGGAACACGCCCCGCACGTCCGTGGACGCCCGGATCCGGAGGAGCCAGGTCTGCGCCGGCCCCTCCTCGCCGCAGGGAGGCCAGGGAGTGGGCGTCCCCTCTCTCATTTCAGCCGCAAAATGAGTCCATCCACCAGCCCTCGGGTTTTTGCATAAAAAAGATAGTGTTTGTAGAGGGGAAGCCTGCCCGGCCCATCGACAGCATTCTGTCGGGAAAGCCGAGAATTATTGGGGTCACCAGAGTGTCCGTGGCGGGGCCTCACCTTCTGGAGGTTACAGGGCAGCAAGGGAACCAGACTAACTCCCCCTGACCCTCGGGGATGAGCTTGGGCGCCGGGCACCAGCTGTGGGG